GTTTAGATGTTAAATTCTGGATTTAACATCTAAACACCGTCCGATAAGAACTCACAGGCTGGGCCTCCTCCGGGTGCCGTCGACCGGACAATGCCGGCTGGCGGCCCCTCGGGGGGGGGGGGGGCTTTTTTTGAGCTGCTTCGGCCCTGTGGAACGATCTGCCCGTAGAGATCCGGACCCTTCCCACTCTCCCGGCCTTCCGAAAAGCCACCAAGACCTGGCTGTTCCGGCAGGCCTGGGGCTGCTAAACAATGTCCAGCCCCATCTAGACAGAATGGATGGTGTGTTATTTTAAAAAACTGTATCTTTTTATTCCTAATTTTTAACTTTTTATCTTGTCTCTACGGGATTGGGCGGCATACAAATTTATTAAATTTCAATTTCAATTTCCATGTCTCCAGTGTCCTTTTCCCCACTTGGAGGCTGAACGCAGAAGAAAAGTTCCTTCTTCTAAGAGTGCCCATTAAGAAATCCAGGCCAGCCTATTTACAAACAAATCATCTTCAGGCCCAGATGGATTAAGAATTTACACCCCCACCCCCGCCCCACCCCCAAATTCTAAGAACAGGACATGACTTTTAGGATGCAATAGGATTAACCCACCACCATTAGAATAGCAAAAGACACCAGACTCCCTACGTTGCACATTCCCCTGCAGCATCTCAGAACCCTATAAAAAAATCCATGCACTCATCAAACCAATTTGTCAATTGTCCCAGAACTGCCTGCTGTGGTTAGTTCTGCTCATCACTAAACAGAGTCCTTCTCTTCTAATCGGCCTCCATTTTATTTCCAGCACCTTTCTCCCGGATTGGAACCGGACTGGATTTTTCTTCCAACAGAGGTTTCTTCCCCCAGTTTTAAAATCAAACCAATCTTCTTCCAAGGCAACCTCCATCAATATATCATCATTATCATCACAATCTGTAAAAATATGAAACATAGTTATTGTCAAAAAACATTTAGGATTAAAGTAGTCACATACAGAAATTTGGGGAATGAAACTATATTAAAATACTGCAATGCAAGCAGATGATACAGATTTCCCATGTCTTGTAGCTTCACCTAAGCAAAAAGCATAAGCTTCACATTATTATAGCTGTGTCCCCCCGTCCCCCCCCCCACAGAATCCTCTCTGTCCCGGGCAGCCATTCAGCGGACCTAAGCACCGAGGCTGACTGAGAAGTACATTCTGACTCTACCAGGGCCAGAACTTTCTGTGAAGTTTCCAAGTCAACCAGAAGTAGAGTCACCTGAAGGTTACTATAGCGCTCCACACAGGAGTTGTCATAAGTTCTAAAATAAGTAACACCTATCATTTGTCAGCTTCCATTGGCTAGGGCTACAGAGGATTAAGATACTGCAGGAAGAATGGGATGAATCTCTAATATTTGAAACAGGCAATTAGCCTGTTTTATGAAGTCTGTCTAAAGAAACAGTGGCATCTTAAACTTAAACAAGAGGACGCCTAGATTACAGTAGATCTGCACTGGAAAGTGACATTTTGCATGAACATACTTTTGCCTCCCTTTCCTCAACCGTGCTGCAGCAATATTTTCATTTTTAGGGCAACCATTTATTTTGTATGCATGCAAAGCAATTACATTTTAATCTGTGACACGAATCTGACTGCCTGGCCTATCACTGCAAACAGCTGATGCCAGTTCTAAGGGCAAAACATCCTGTAAGATCAGCGTTTCTCAATGTCAACCAACTTTAAGATGTGTGGACTTCAACTCCCAGAATCTAGGATTCCCCAGAATTCACTGCAGGATGCTGCAGTGTTAAGAAAAAGTTGCATGCTTGTTGCAAGCTATTTCTCTCCAAGGCTCCTTTGTCAGTACACTGTGGATCTACATTGGCTTGACTGTGATTCTACCCAAAGTCTGTAAAGAGAACAGTAGCTATGACAATCAAGATATGTATGAACAAGCTGTATTTCATGATTGGCTCCTGTGCAGACCTCATCAAACCTGAATAGCCAAATAATTTTTTTAAAAAACTAGATGTGTTTTGCAGCCATTGACATCAATAAATTTCAAAAGTACAGCAACTTTCAATAGAAACCTGCAGGATCAGATAGACTTATGATGGTTTTGTTTTTTTGTATGCAGTGTTATTCTATCAATTGCCTTTTCCAGGTAAGAGTGGACTACAAGCCTCACAACTCTTTATATGTGCTGACTGGGAATCAGGGAAGCTATAACTCAAATTCAACTGAAAGACACCACATTAGATAAAATTGCATTTTTGAGGAAGAAGATATTTTAGCCAAGTTAAGAATCCAGTACATATCTTCAAGCTTATGGGACTAAAGCATTATTGGGAAAAAAAGGCTGTTCTGACAAGCAACAGGGAGAAAGCAGAACTATTTAACTCATTTTTTGCATCTGTCTTTACACAAAGGGATAAAACAGTCCAACNTGCTAACATGGGTTGAGGAGGAAAACCTAAATTTTCTGAATCCTGGTGCAACTTTGTTTGTGTGTGTGTGTCTTTTTGAGAGAGGGGGGAGGGAAGGAGAGAGGGAGGAAGGAGAGGAAGGGAGAAGAAAAAGAAAGAAGGAAACTTATTTAGCAAAGAAGAAAAACAAATGCTGTTGCTTTAAATCGGAACTGAGCATGCCTGGCTGTGGAATTCTGGGTTCACAAGTCTAAAAAAATTGCTGCCTCACCAGCCATAAACCTCACCGCACGTCACTGCATAACAGTATTCTAGAGAGGAAGTCTAAACCTTTGCTTTTCATCTAACCACTGAGATTTAAAATAAAAAGTTTTCTCCATTCTCAAATTTCAAACCTGTCTTTTCATCCATTTCTTCCCACTCACTCTTCTCACAAAGATGGAATCAAAATAGCTCTCCTTTTTTTTGTTATTCTGTAATATGGTGCTGGTTCCATTAATTAACTGGCACACTGATTCTTTTCTCTTGGTTTTTAATTTGATCAACTCTAAAGAAGCCCCTTTGTTCTTCTTAAGAGCCCTTTGTTATCTCAGTTCATTCTGAGCTTTTGTCATTCTATGCCATCTCTACAATTTACCTGAATGTATTCTTTGTTGGTGACCAATCCCTCCTACCACCAGGCCTGAAGTGCCTACAACGTCTTAAGAGTTTCGACAATTTTCCTGCGCTGTGAAAACAGCTTTGCAAAGTGAACTATATTAAAGTTTTACTTCATTTTGCTTTTATTTACTCCACCTGAGGCTAAATAAATTTTCACGGAGGAACTAGGTAATTTCATTTTGGAGGTATCAAAGGAGGCCTCTGCGCCTAAAGAATTTCAATAAAATACTGAGGCACCATATAAGCAGCTTTAAAGGCCTGAGTTTAAATCATAGTGATACCAAAGGAGCTGCTTTGGGGGAGTCAAAACTCAAGAAATATCTTAAATATGCACCAAAATACCATTCCCTGAACAAACTTCAGTTGTTCACCTAATTGGAAACAATGCAGCTTTCCCATTTTTTTTGAGACTGGTCTGGACAATTTATATAATCAAGAAGGCTTAAAAAGCATATGATCAATATGCCTGCAGCAAGTGGAAAGCTAACCAATGTTAGATACGGATGAACAACAGCGGAGTGAAACAAGGTCATATTTACTATTCAAAGAAAAGACATAGAACAGCCAGTTGATAAAATATCCTTAGCTATACTTTAGAGTTACCATGTTTATCTTAAGAAAAAGCATCTGTGATCGGAGCTGCCATTTTTCTATAAATATAGGTGGGTGGGTGTGGAATGTTGGCTTTGATGTTTTAAATGGATTGGTTGGCTGTGTTGTCACATCTTGATTGGTTGATTGAATTTTTATATATACATATATCTGTCTCTGTGTGTGTGCGCGCACACGTGCATATATATATATATATATATATATGTGTGTGTGTGTGTGTGTGTGTGTGTGTGTGTG